CCCCAAAACCCCAAAACCCCAAAACCCCAAAACCCCAATGTGCCTATCCTTATTTGAGCTTTAAACTTTCCTAGCTAAAATAATAATTTAAGAAATGGAAGAGTCGCTTTGTTAATGACTCTCTTCCATAACGGAACTTCGCTCTGGACCTCTGCAGCTATGTCTCCCTCATTATGAAGCTTCTTGGACTGGTAGATCACATAATTTTCCAAATTTCTGTGACCAAACGACTTACGAAGAGTCTTCTTAGTCATCTCTAATTTAAACCACATAGCACTCTGTTTGATTGCCTGATTGCTCTCTTTAGCAAGGAAGGGGAACATATCGTAGTTTAAGAACCCGTGTGGGAGCTTAGTATACTCAGCTAAGGATACCTTCCCTCCCAATTTATGTATCCTGTATGCAAATTTATAGCCATCGTCTCTGAGAGGATCTAGACCAGCTACGACGCATTTGAAAGATGGGAACTTCTTCAAAACCTTATCTGGAAGGATCATAGGAGACATAAATTCATGCTCCTCTGATTTTATCCCTTTGCAATATGCATTCAAGCAAAATGTGAGCATGGTGTAATTCAAAATATGGTCATCAAAAGATAGAATTCTTGAAGGAATGAATCCTCTCAGCCATGTTAATAGTGCTGGGTAAAACACAAATAAAGAATCAGGCACTCTTTCTCTCTTACAAATTGTTAAGGCTGTCAGAGCAACTGCTAAGTTTCCACCGGCTGAGTCTCCAGAGAGGAATACCTTTTCTGGTTCAATACCAAGTGCATCTTTACAGTATTCAATAGTCCAACTATATGTCTGCCAGCAGTCATCAAGCGCGTCTGGGTATTTTCACTCTGGTGAAAGACGATAACTGATCATAAACACAGGGATTCCTACATCTCTCACCCACTGTCTTGTATAAGTCTGATGCTGTCCAGAAGACATGGTCACGAAACCACCTCCATGAATATGGATAATTATAGCTTTAACTTTATGTACCTTTCTCATTGGCTTGAACCTTAACTTATCCATTTCATCAACAATTTCTAAATCTGTTGGAGAAATAATTCTCAGCTTCAATAAACGTTCATTTTCTTCTTGGTACTCTCATCCAGGCGCTTTGAAATCCCCATTCTCTTTGGTAAGATCATTTTCCTTATTAAAGAAGAGGGTGGATCTTTTCTTCTTAACAGTTCTCATATACTTCCTTGAGGAGTAAATCGGGTGAACTTCATCATAAAGATCCATTGACTCTTTCCTTTCGTCACTCATATAGCTCTGGAGTGTCTTCTTCAATCCGCTGATGGTCAGGGTCTTTCTGATCCTAGGGATGTATATCACCTTGTGATATTCTATTCCTGGGCACATCATGGTGCATGCCTTCTCAGGGACAAAGCTGTTAATAGACTTCAATAAGTTACAAGTCAAGTCGTAATCATGTGCAGCTACAAATTCTCTGAATTTCGTAGTCCTATGTCTTTTTGAAAGCAAATATGCAGGTGAATATGTGCAGAAATCAATGATTTTGGCTAAGAACCCACTCTTATCCTTATTCTTGTATGCTCAAGCAATTCAGAGTGAGATTCCTTGGTAGAGAATTTCCACTCTTCTACGAAGATCTTCTGGATCTTCAGGTGTGATTTTATAAACATTTTGGTAAAAACTAACTCTATCTTCGTCTGTGGGTTTTAAGTAGAAAACGTCATCATTTTCCATTCTGAACACGTTGAAAACTCCATCTTCAAATGCTTTCATTGCGTTTCCATAGAAAAACAGCTCTGCAAGATAGTGGTATCACGGTTTTGCCAGGATCTCTTTACATAGGCCAAGTACGAAAGAGAGTGCTAAATTAGAAGATGAGGCAATGAAAGAGTAACCAAGTACCTTTATTTCCAGTCAAAATCACTAAGGTTAGAGGAGACACTGGGAAATTCTGATTGTTCACTATCAGCTCTTCAACATCATTTTTCTGCTCTTCGTTCAATGTATTCAGAAGATCATCGTGACTGCTTAAAAATTCTTGCTTAGAGCTTTGCTCTTCTGAAGTGCCATTCTTAGCAGTTAACGAGAAGTAAGAATTAATCTTCTCAATTATTTCTGCATATACCTTGGTTGTTTGAGAGGGGCTTTCTGTCTCCTTTCCGCTGTTAGAGTTTTTCTTTGGAAATGAAGATAACTCTTGAATCTCGCTCTGACTTTTTCTACACATAAACTTATTTTTCCTCTGCACATTCTTGGTCTTAATACAAAGCTGATAAATAAGGCTCATCTGGAGAACAATCTTGTCTACTAGAGACTTGAACTCCTGGAGCTTGACTGTGTTTCTCATAATATGAATACTGTCCAAGAGTAGTATGTTAGTGACGTAATTCGTCAGACTAGACCCCATCATCAAGCCTATTTGTAAAATTTAAGAAATTACGTCAGCAACGTAAAAATGTTGATAAAATTCGTATTTTTGAAAATTTGAACTTGATTAAGATCAAGATCGAAGAAAATGGTTTCAAGGAATTAAGTGAATGAAACTAAACTGAAATTGATTGACATCCCATAATTACTTAAATAAGACTTGGATGGGATAAAGAGGGGTTTTAGATCTCCTTTAGGTATAAATAAGCTCTCTTACCGTATGTTAACTGAGCAGCAAGGTCATCAACAGTGTAGTGAAAACTACTGTTAGCGCATCCCTTATCTATAAACTCATCAAAAATCCTCTTTACCAACATCAAGTAGCCTCTTAGACCTGAGGTCATAATACTTATATTCGTTGGGTAATTTATGATCTACGTTCAAAGATCCACCTATTTCAGCTTCCATTTCAATAATTTTATTTTTATTTTTAATTCTTTTTCAACAACCCTCCTATTAACTGGGGTTTTGGGGTTTTGGGGTTTTGGGGTTTTGGGG